TTGGCAACAGGATATTTTATCATTACGCCGTTCAATAAGCTTAAATGCTTTCGGAGCTAAATTCTCTAATAGTAAATGAAACTTAGAATTATCTTAAACAATAGAATTTTAAATAAATTATTAATAAAACGAGAAAATTAGAATACACTGTTCCTAATTCTTCTTAGGGAACTAAATGAGGCCTGTCTTTAGTCACCCACATAGAGACTGTAATTGACAGAAAAGGAAATTTTACTCACCATTTTTAACAAGACTCATCTCAGTTTTTGGAGATCAGTGTTGCTCAACATGTTCAGCATACGAAAACGGATGATAGCGATTTCCTGTTTTTCAGCGAATTGCTGATGAAAAAGAGCGCTCATTGACTTGGCGCTTAAAAACCCCTTTTCTCTCAGTGTTGGCGACAAAATTTCTATTGATCAAGAGAAACTGGTGAATCCAAGTAGCAGTCCTAAAATTCACCTCGCGATGTGATTTCCCTGTTCTGTGATCGCTAACGGTTGTTTGTTTCGTTTACGTTGAAGGCAGCGGAGGTGAAGTCTAAAGTGTAACTTACCTTTGATTATTCATTCCTCGCGTGTGTTTATTGAAAATACGGGGATGGAAAAAGAGAAACGCACCGGAATCTAGAGAAGTGAAATAGATTGTGTGTTTCTGCGTCTTAAGAGTAATTATTGCTATTTACCCTACCACCGTGGATCCAAACAACAAGCTCGATGTGCAGGTCAAACAGTATAAAAAGATGAAAAAGCGCAAAGAGCTGGATGCTCTTGTCTCGAATGGAAAAATAAGCTCAAGTAAAAGAATTAATTGCAACAAAAAAGGATCTGGTTCATGCTCAGCGCATGAACTGCTTCGACACGATACTGACACCTCAGATATGGAAGATTTCTCCATTCTGCAGCCGCGGAGAAAGGGGCGAAAGAAGTAGGTTTTTAAATTTTGTTATGTTTGTGAAGTATTTAGTGTGTAAATAATCTTCAAACCACTTTCTTTGTCAGTCGTGCGTAAATGTTTGCAGTTACTTACATGATAGTTTCAGTTTTCGAGTATGTGTTATGAAATAGTAATGTTATGAAGAGAAATTAAATGAGCATATTTTTGTGTGAAGTTCATAGCGGTATTTCAGAAAACATTTGTTATGGAATTTGGAGCAACAGAAAAGTTTTCTATAATCGATAAATCAAGAAGGAGGGAATATTTTTCTTGTATGCATCATATTCTTTTTCTTTACATTTATATCAAAGTAATAATTGTTTCATCACCTCAATGAGCATCTTCTCTAAATGCGATTATTGTTTTCGGACGGAAGATATTTATTTAATCAGTTAAATCTGCAAAACCTTTCCAGTATCTTATTCCATTCAGTATCTGTTAATATGTGATCTTAATTCATTATGATCTCAGTATTATTAAGTTTGCATTTTTTAATCTTTTATTTTGCCATATTTATAATTTCTTACAAAAAGAATTGAGGGGAATGAGGAACATAAACGACCAGTCACCAAAAATATTTCTTTCTAGATCAATAAATATTTATCCCTTGTTTGAGAATTTTATTATATTCATAACTTGTAATTTCAGCTGTAACACTGAATTATGTACCCATTTAAAACTGAAGTTAAAAATCTTGGATTATTGTAAGATATATGTATGTATTCCCTAATATGCGACTTAAGCGTTTTTTTTTTCCCCATTTTTTTGCTGTGAGAATTTTTTTTTTTTTAGGCCTGTTATATTCACCGGCTTTAAACAAAATTAAGATAATCAGGACTAGTTTCTGAGTATATAATGGATTTTATGTTTAAAAAAAATTAAGTAAATATTAGATGCAAGAAAAATAAAATCATTTGTAATCATTAATGTACTGTATATTTTTTATATAATACATATTTTACAATTCTGAAAAGCTGATCAAAACTAAGGAGAGAGGGTTTTTTAATTTGTCTTTCTGTTCCTTTATTAAAAAATTTTGTATTTTTAATCAATTACTTATTGATAACACATGTTAAATCAGAATTCCTTAGTTTTTTGTTTATTAAAGATTTACATAATTTTTTAAATTGAATTAGTTGCAAGTTAACTAAGAACTAGTTAATTACTAGTTAAGTAAGAACTGTGCAGAAGTATTTCTGTCATTTTGCAGTGCTGTGAATAAACCTTGTAATATTTGTCCCTTTTGTTGGTAATTTAGACATGGGAATCGATTATGTCTCACATCGGTTTGCCTCTCCTTATGCCAGTTCATCTTAGTGACTACCAGTTGTTTAGTCTCTGGAGCATTGATTTGGCTCCACATTGGTCTTAGGGAAGATATAGATCTACTCCGAGCCCATCTTCAAAAAGGTAATAATTCATCACAGAAATTACTATTAATCATTTTTATGTTTGGTGATTTAGTGATTTCTGTGCTGTAGCATTTATACTGCAGTAAAATATAAATGAACAAATGTATATTTTAAGTCGGTAATGATCATCAGTATTCTTCATCATGCAATTCATTAAACATTCCTAATTTTTTGTTTTCGTTTAAAACTTTTTTTTTTTTTTTTTTTTTAAAATCTTGTTAAGCTTTAAAGTTATTTTTTCTCAAAATAACTCATTGTTACTTGCAATTATAAATATAATAAAACTTATATTTTTGTCAGTAAAATTTCCCCAAATTTAAAAAGGATTTTCATTGTTCACGGATTCCATGTCGTCTATTATTGTTAACTTTTGTGGAATGCATAAATCTTTCAAATCATTGCATATTAAGTCAAAAATTATCGTATAGCTTTATCTTTTGCGTATTTAGTCAAAAATATATGTGTAGCTTGATATTTACTGTCAGAATTTATTTTGTAGAAAGCAGAGCTTGAAGATTTTTATTGAATTCTAGTAGCAGTATTAAATGCTTGTTTACAGAAATGTTAATAAAATGAATGTATAATCTATGTTATTTTTGAAGGCTAAAAACAAGTATTTTGTTAGTGTCCCCTCATAATCTTCTTTTTAAAAAAAATTTGCGTTATTTTATAGATTCACAAGAATCCTCTGTTTTTAAATGATTTTGTTTTATTTAGAGTAGCTTTTCCAATGAAATGCAAGTTTTTTCTTAATTTTTTATTTAAAGTATGAAAAGTGATTGCTTAAAGGCATATTAGCATCTCTCTTTCATGATTATTATTCAAAAGTTACTTCAAAATGTGTGCCATTATGCAGTATTAAATTCAATAGTGCATATTTTTAAAGAATTGAACTCTTTTTCATTGTTGCATTTATGTTTCCCCTTCCCCCATGATCTCTTTTCTCAAACTTACATGCCTTTCTATGCAGAACAAATTTTTGCTATAAAGAATTAAAATGATTGTCAGATCATTAGTTAAATTAAAATATTCATTTATTTGGATACTTCATTTTGAATAGAACTTTAAAAAAAAATAGAAAGTGAAATGAGCTTATATTTCGTAGCAGAGATATCATGATATAATTATTTTAAGAGAAGTGTATATATAATATCTCTGCAGAGTGCAGAAGTATTTTCTGTAATTACAGTAAAAATGTTTTCATTTCATTTTCAAGTTAAAATTTGTTTTCTTTCAGACTTTCTTGAAGCATTATATTAAATTTATTTTAAATATCATAACAAATATATTGATGTATTTTTATTCATGGAATTTTCGTTTTCCACTGACTCTAATAATTTATATTCAGTTCATATTAATTTAGATTATAAGTAATGTATTTAATGAAATAATTTGTTTCCAGTTAATATGCTTTATGAACATTTGTAGCATTATTAGGTATATTTAATAAAAGATATTTCCCATGGAATTGTATTATTCAGAACAAATTAATTGTTATTATTTTAAAACAAATTCAAAAATTATGCAATTCAAATCCAACTTCAGAAAAAGGTTTCCTGCTTTCAATATTTTAATCTCGGGTTGTAGCTAAATTTTCTGGTTTTCAAAATGAAATTTATATACATCTTAATAAAACCTCCAGGAAAAAATTATTTCTTTTGCTTCCACATATTTTAAAGAATTAATTGTGGCAGGAGGAGGGCTATTTCAAATTATAGAGAAATGAAAATGTATTAAATTTTTTAATTGACAGTTGTCTTGTTTAAATGTGTTGCTGTATCAGGTGAAGAACATTTCTAACTAAATCAGTCATAATTCCTCCACCTTCTAAAAGTATATGAAAATGATATTTATTTGCAGTTTAGGTGCGTTTTTGTTATGCACCTGCGAAACATTTTGGTAGATTTTTTAATTGTAAACAACTTCTAGTTATAACAGTAGTTTATAGAAATACACATACACAACAATAGCCCAAATGTCACTCATTAGGTCTCAGCTCTCTTTCACAAGCAGAAAAAAGCATGCAGGTTCATATTGGAAAAGTGCCCTGTTTTATGTATGTTTAATATTTTTCAAGCATATGCAATAACACTAAAAAAAATTTATGAGTGAAGTGTTGCGTATGTACTCCTTATTTGTAAAATCTTTTCTTGTTCATACTTATACAGGAAAATTCAGTATTGCTCCGTGATAAGTAATTCATAATGTTATTGCGTTGGGGTTAAAAAAAACTGAAATTATCTGATATTTTATCCAACAGTATCAAATTTTTTAGTTCAATCAACATTTTGCAAACCATTTATTTATTTCTTGGGACTGGTCTTTTAATTTCAATAAAATAATTTTAATAATGTGATATTTATTTTTGACTATAGTAAACATAAATCGCTGTTTGTTAAGAAATTAAATGGTTGATATAAATGAATAGTTTGTTATTTTTCCTTTCCAAATAAGTGTAAATCGTGCAGTAGAGTAATTTCTGTGTAGTTTATTGCTTAGTGAGTAACAGGCAAATTTTAGTTTGTATTAGGCAACAGAAAAGTATTTTGTTAAACTAGCAGCTGACTAATGTTCTTTATATTTATCAATATCAGAGTCTTATTTTATTTAAACTTATTAGTATTTATTAAACTAATTTTGCTTTTCGTTTAGTTGAAGCTGGCAACAGAAATACTCCTGAAGCCTTACATTTAATCCATTCAACATTAAGACAGCTTGATTCTAATGTCACTATGCTGTATATTGAAGTCAGAAAAAACATAGCAGATATTGAGAATATCACATGTGAGGTAAGCTTAATTTATAATTTTTTTACTCCTACGTAAAATTTGTTATGTAAGTAAATAAATAAATATCTGTGGTAAAATAGTATGTATGTGATTCTGAATATGAAAGAAAGTGAAATTTTTGAAGTTTTTGTATAAACTTCAAGACCTGTGTTTTTCTTCTTGGTAAATGATCTTTGCCACTTAATTAGAAATGATCATCTATATAACGAGCTAAAAAATCAGAAGTTCATACACATTTTTTCACTCTCTTAAATCATATTTAGACTCTTAAAGTAATTACCTAATGGTATGCTACTTTAGATTAAATTGCATTTTTAAATCATTATTAAGTAGGTCATCAGTATCCGCAGGCATACTAATAGCCAAGCACTAATATCATTTAATACTGGTATTCAATCTGCATTTGTATCCCAGCAAACAGACTGGCAATTCAAAATACAGTCAAAAGTCTTTAATCCGGACGTCTATAATCCGGACCTCACAGCAACAAACATTCTGCGCATGCGTAAACGCATAATGCATTTACGCATGCGTATAATACCTTTATGCATGCGCATAATACCTTTACGCATGCGCCTTTAATATAGAAGAACGGACAGTATAAGCTGAGCTAAAATTATCTAATTATCTATTTCAGTTAATGTTGCAGATTGCTTTGTTCCTTAATCTTCTAATTGGATCCGGCTTATTTTTTTGAAGACTTTAGGCAATTTTTATAAAAGTAAGCTTGAACATTTCATTATTCAAAAAAAATTTCCGATTCTGGAGCTTCCAAAGGATCTACAAAGCTAAAGCATGTTTCGATTCCGTCAAACAAAAAGTGGAATTGCTGCAAAAATGGATAAAGGCATTCCTTGTTTCTCTAACCAGTCCGAAATCTGTTTATCAATTTCACGCTGCTCTGCGGGGGGATGTCCCGGCACGAATGAGAGTAATCTGTCAGCCACTATCCTTATCTCAGGGAGATATTTTATTTTATTTGGCTTATAATTTCTTACTAAATGTAGTATTTCATCTCGATGTATAAGTCTTTGATATGATTTAAATCAAATTCCTCGTCATTATAAATATCACGAATACACATCAAATAGTTTTGTGGTTGCAATTTTTTCTAATTTCGACTATGCGTAATGTGTGCTTTACACATACGCGCGTTGAGAAAGAATGTTTATAAAGTAAACAAATAAATATTAAGAGTTTTTTTTTGTAAATTTTGATACTCTTATATCATAATTGACTCTGTATTCATAAAGTACAGTTTCATATTTTTAATTTTATAATTTCTGCATGCCATCTTACCAGATTTAAATTGATGATCTATAATCCGGAATTGCCGAAGTTTCTGGAATCAAATAAATTTACTAATAAAAGTAAATTTGTATGTTACATGTGTGTATTCATAAATAGGAGTATGACAGGAAAATAAAATCCCTCCCTCTCTGAATACGAAGTGGTCGGCTGAGATAGATCATGTTCATTCTCAATTCTTAGAAATATTAGCCATGAAAATCTCATGCAATGGCATGATAACACTACCAGAAATTGATTGGATTTCAGATGGAAGTTCCAATTAATTAGAAATACACATAATATATATTTAGTTAATTGCTAGTCGCTCATACTACAGCAGCACATCTGACAATATTATACTTTTAATATCAATCTCCAGATTAAAATTTTTTGTAAAATTGTGTACTAATCCCAAGTCTTGAATTTTAGTGCAATTTTGAGAAATCATTGGTGTAAATCTTTAACTATTAAACTGCTCAAGAAACCCCATAACCAAGCTATAAATTTTATCTTATTTTCTTGTGATAAAATTGCTATTCTAATCACAAATTGTGTGGAAGAAGAAACTTTAAACATACATTTGTTTTTAGAAGTGTCTTGTACCTTAAAGTGTTATTTCAGATCTCAGAAAGCTGTTATTGAATTTTTTTATACAGAGGCTGTTCGCACAGTTTTTAGACAATTTTGGTAAGCAGTAATAAAAAATCGTTTGCTGCAAAAGAAGTTGCAATTGTTACTAGTTTTAAAATTATCGTCGGTGGCTTGAAAGTTTTTGTTTTATTCAAAATGGCGAATTTGACAAAGCAGTGGTTCGAGGGCTACATTTACGCTCTTTCCGAAGAGAAATATGCATACTCCGTTATCCGAAAACTATGTGAGAGTCATGGTTTTGTGATATCTAAAGCGTCGATAGGTAATATCATCAACAAAAAAGAAAAAAAAAAAAAACATCAAATTGCAGCCTCAAGTGGGACAAAAATTTCAAACAAGAATCCAAGGAAAAAACGGACATCTTCGACTATTGCAAAAGTACGTTGTTTAATGTTAAAAGAAAATCCCCCTAGTCAAAGGACAGTTGCAAAATCATTAAAATGCTTGGTGTCCACTGTAAATGAAATGATAAACGTTTATTTAAATGTTAAGAAAGCGAAAAAATGCAATGTGCATCGTCTTCTTCCAAGGCATATCGCTCAACGCAGGGCACGCTGCAGAATTCTATATGAGAAACACTTATCCAAAGAGAAATGGGAAACAATTGTCACAATAGATGAAGCATGGCTGTATTTAAATGATTGTAACAAAAAAAGAGCCATTTATTATCATAAAAAGGGGAGAAAAAAAATTTAAGTATATGATTCAATGAATTGAAAGAAATTTTTTCTAAGGGATTCATGATTGCTGCTGGTTTTTCTTATAATGGGAAGTTAAAAATAAAGAGAGAGTAATATAATGTCAAGATTAACTCCAAATACTATCAGGAACATATTTTATTGCCATTTTTTTCTGAATGAAATACCATCACTTTACCCACAGTGCCATCAATCTGTGAGACTCCATCAGGACAAAGCTAGCAGTCACACATCAAAATCCACTGTAAATTTCCTAAACAAAATGGAACAAAAAACTGGTATCAAGGCCCTTCACTGATATCCCTACTAAATCTCCCGATGTGTCACCTATGGATTTTTGTGCTTTCGGACTTTTAAAAACTGCATTATCCAAACATTGTCCCAAAACCCTAACAGGACTCTGGAAAGCTGTTCGGGAGGAATGGGATAGAATACCTCTTCTGCCACTTTAAAAGGCATTATTATTCTGGAAATTGCGGTACTAATTTCTGTGTGAAGACGCCAATGTTTTCATTTTCAGTGATTAAATATTTTTCGAAGAAAAGTGTTTTAGATGTACATATGCTTACTAAAAACATATTTTTGAAAATGTTTTGTTATTCGTTACACATAAAGCTTTCTCCTGTATTTTTCATATAACATGAAATATACATTAAATATTTATATCCTGAACCACCTTACTTCAGATTTTGTATTTGATTTAAAATTTATGAAGTTGATTTCAAAGAGCAGATAGATGCAAATGTAGCCAAGGTTTAACTCTAATGAATGAATCCTTTCTCTTGACAGCGTAACACTGATAAAGCAGGTCTTGTTTTGCTTAACATTTTCATTATCCATACGTTAGTATTTATAGAAAGCTGTTAGAATACTACATTTATTAAAAATTTTCCATATAGTATTTTCATAATTTAAAAATTTTTACTCATATATTAGTACAACCATAGAAGTTGCCAAACTCTCGTAAACATGTTTAATAAACATTCTTCAGGAAGCTATGTGCATAACAATCCTTCAGGCATGTAAAGTTGCCATTTCATATGCATTCTTTTCATCATATTTTAAGTTCTAAAAGTTTTTATTAGCAAATAATGATACTTTTTGCCTTAAACTCAATTTTAAAATATACGCTTGTGAAATTAACCAGCAGTTATAGAAACTGCAACAAAATTTCTACAGGAATAGAATATTTTGCCACAAAATCTCTAAAAGAAAACTATTATTTTGAACCTGTTGTTAAAATGATTCCACAAACTCCACCTGAACAAGAAAGGTATAAAAACAAGCTTGTGAGTAGATTTATTTATTGAATTTTTTGGATAAATGCTTAGTTAGAATATAAATTATCTATCCAAGTTTTATGTCATCATTCTTTTTCATCTGTAAAATACTGGCAAATTATGGCTTGGTGTTTGTGTTAATAAGTTAACACCCAAAAATTTTGAAACATCAAAATATATTTTCTCTTGACTCTGAATCTGTGACAAAATTTGCTTATTGTGTGCAGTGTAAATATGCTTTAGGTAATAATATTGCATTAAAAAAGATGTTGTTGTAAACCATGGGTGTCTAAACTATGACCATTTGAAAGCCATATTGCAAAGAAAAAGTATTTCCGGGGCCGCACTGCTTAGGAAAAAAAATTTGCGGGGACACACATGTAATATTTTTTAATAAATTGAAATAAAAATTAGTTATATATTGTTTTATTCAAATTAATTAACTTCTTTTTATATTTTTAAAATTTTAATTATATATGTTTAGGTACATTTATAATTAATTTATACAAGTTTTGTTTCATTTAGTTTGGATTTCATAAAATTGGAAAAATTTCAAATTAATGAGATGGATGAATTTGCTTTTGTTGAACAAGCAATTCGATATGGGGGTTCAATAGACGAGGTTGCAATTCTTATTGCATTTTCAAGATGTTTGGCAGTGATTTTTGCCCTATTTTTGTTTTTGTGTATGCTTCATTCTTGAAAATAATTGTTCACAAATATAGGTACAGTCAAAAGTCTTTAATCCGGACTCGTCGGGACTTCGGTGATTCCGGATTATCGATTTTTCCGTATTATAGATCATCAGTTTAAATCTGGTAAGATGGCATGCAGAAATTATAAAATTAAAAATATGAAACCGTAATTTATAAAATAATGAGCAATTATGATCTAAAGGGTATCAAAATTTACAAAAAAAAAAAGCTTAATATTTATTTGTTTACTTTATTAAACATTTCTTTCACGTGCGTATGGTAAGATACATTATGCATAGCCGAAATTAGAAATTGCAACCAGAAACTATTTGATTGTATTCGTGATATTTATAAGACGAGGAATTTGATTAATCATTCAAAGACAGAGATGAAATACTACATTTAATAAGGAATTATAGCCGAATAAATAAAAAACATTTCTTGCGCGCGGCCAACGTTCCCCCCCCCTCCGCGCAACAGTGTGAAATTGATAAACAGATTTCGGAACGGTTAGATAAACAAAGGATATGCCTTTATCCATTTTTGGAGCAATTCCACTTTTTGTTTGATGGACATCGAAACATACTTTCATTTTCGTAGATCCTTTGGGAGCTCCAGCATCGGAAATTCTATTTGACATAATCGAAAGTTCAAGCTTACTTTTATAAAATTGCTCTTACAGTCTGCAAAAAATAATAAGCCAGATCCAATTCGAAGATTAAGGGACAATGCAATCATCAACATTAACTGAAATAGACAATTAGATAATTTTAGCTTATACCGTCCGTTATACATTAAACGCGCAGCGAAAACGTATTCTACGCTTGTGCACACGCAAATGCACAGTCGTAAAGGTCTTACGCACACGCTTAAATGCCTATGCGCATGCGCATAAAGTTTTTAGCTTTGAGGTCCGGATTATAGATCATTCCAGATTATAGGTGTCCGAATTAACGACTTTTGACTGTACTGCCAAAAGCTGAAGACATTAATAAAGCAGGATTGTGAAAATTAGGATTTGAATGTCACTTTGCAGTTCAATGCATTCCATTTGAAAATTTGAAGGGGATTTACTTATTTCCAGAGAAATGTTGAAATACTCTTCATTTTTTTTTTGAAAATCTTTGAAATCTACTTTCAAACTCTTGAATCAAATCAAAAATTAATGCAGCATATTTTACATATTTTGTGCAACTCAGATTTATGTACAGCTAAAGTAATGAAATTTGTCAAATCTTTTATTTGATTGTGATAAAATTTTAACTTTCTTTCAAACGCTGTAATAGTTTGGAACATAATTAATAAATTGATTTTTTCCTTGAAGTCTAAAATTTAAGTTATTCAAATGTTCTGTTAAGTCTACTAAAAAAGCTAAATCTAAAACCCAATCTTTTTCTTCAAATTCAGTCACAGGTTTCCCTTTTGTTTCCATAAATATTTTTATTTCAGTTCTTAAATCGTAAAATCTTTTGAGCATTTTCCCATTATTTCTGTATAATGAATAACATCTGCAAATTCAGTGCCCATTACCTCAAGAAAATCTTGAAATTGTGTATGATTAAGTCTATGATTGAAAGTAAGAGAAATAAACTTCCTCATGCAATTTTCATGTGACCCGTAATTACAAGACGGATTTCATATCCTGTGGAAATCGCGGGAGCCGTATACATAGGGCTTTAATACACCATGATATACTAAGATGATTTTATTTAAATTTTTATTTTAAAATGAATGTCAACAAATCGATTATATATGAATCAAGTTCAAATATTCATTTTTTAATAAAAATGTGTAAATTTAAATACTTTCAGAATTTGCATGTAGGCCACACTTTAGACACCCACCGTGTAAACTAATGTAGTATCTTCTGTAAAAAATGTGTCAGTGCTTAGCATGTTTATCAAATTGCATTTTATTACCTTTGTTAAGTCACTTTTTTTTAATTTGTTTAAAATATAATAAATTTTCTGCCTGATGACCAAGTCACTTTTTTTTTAATTTGTTTAAAATATAATAAATTTTCTGCCTGATGACCTTAAGAGCCAATGGATACAAATAGAAAGTAAATATGTTAGAGTTACTTCCAGTTTCTAAGAACTGTGAGAGTTCTTTATTCTTATGCATCTTAATTATTTTTAAATGACTGATTTCTTCTGTATCTTTTGTGGTCTAGATGATGTCCAGATAAGTAATGAATATTGTATCATTTAATGGCTTAACATCAAAAATGGAAATTTTAGGTGATGAGAAACCATTAAAAAAATTTTTTTTAAGTGATATGATTAATCTTTAAATTAAATGGAAATTGTCTTAATGAGGAAGAATGGTGAAAAAGTACAAAAAGTTTTTGTTTTGTAAAATGATGGGAATGATAATACATTTGAATAAATATTACTTCATGAGGCATAGACTCATTTATAAAAATAGATATTTTAAAAATATGAGATATATTTTTTGGTGAATGCTTAATTTCTGAAAGTATCCTATTTTCTTTAAAAATTTTAGTAAAGTTTAACCTTTTTGTTAATTAATTACATCTAATTCCAGGTGAAACAGTTAAAAGAGGTTTCTAATAACTTAAAAGAAAGCATAGCTGCTGCGCCTGCCATACAGCAACTACCTAAAGATGTACACTCTCTGTCCGAGGTCTGTATTCTATTTTTCAGTATGCAATTTATTTTTTATATCTAAAGGATTAAAAACATGTTATGAGAAATAGTATATTTTTTAAATTACTTGAATATTGCTGTATAAATATTTATTTTTATGGACCATATTAATTTAAAAAGTTTATTGACTTCCTTTATCAATAAACTTATAATAATAAACCAACGAACAAAAATTAGTTAAATGAATTAAAATTAGTTATTGAACCGGTTTTCAGAATATAAAAAGTAGTTAACTATTGTTGTTCCCTAGTATAGTGCTTAGTGACCCTGAATCCCATAGCGAGGGCCACGGGTTCGAATCCCAGAGAAGGCATGCTGTCCCCTTTTATGAGGTAACAGTAGCCCCTTCGCATAAGGAAATGGACATCACTTCTGGCCCTTGTAGTGGCGCAAGGTTAATAGCTATTGAATAAAGTGCTCGACCATTTTAAAAAAAAAAAAAAGTTAACTCTTGTTTAATAAATTTGAGAAATGATAAAAATTGGTTAGATTGCAATATCATCTTTTAAAAAATAAATTATTCTGCTACATATTCAGTAATGCTTTCATGTTGCTTCAAGTGGAATTTGATTACAGCAGCTAAAAGAAATGAACTGGAAGTAATACCAAACAGGACTCTAGTCATTCGTAGAATTTTTGGTTCAATATCAGATACATTATCTGGTAAATCGTCTATCCACAGAAAATGCACAGTATCACAATCAGTCTTTACCACACTAATTTGAAGAAATGCTTTCTCAGTATCAGTAGTAAATGCGATTTGTTTAATTCAAAATTTTATAAGTTTAAGAGATCTGGGTTTAAGTTTGGTCCAGAATGTTGTAATTCATTTAGCGAAAGAGCATGAGAAGGATGTGAAGAAGCATTGGAAACAATCTTTAATTTCATTGTATTTTTATCCTTTTTAATTGCAGTATAATGTGGTAAATAATATATCGAGTTTTGATTTGTATCATTTTGCTCTGTTATTGTTTCTATGATTCCCAACTTGCAGCATTCTTCTATCACAAATTTATAGCATGGATCCTTATAAAATCTTCGAACCAACAAAGCATGTCTTTTCTTAGCATTATCCTAATTATTTTCTAAATTATCACAATTATGTTTCCAAGGAAGTTGTACTTCATAGCGGCCTTCCTTAAAAGACAAACTTAATTCAAAACTTCAAAGAGCTTCTTCATCGGAAGTGGACACTTTTAAGGAGTCATTACCCAAGTAGCATACGATGTTGCAGACTGGTCCAAGAGGTAGCAAAGTGGTCGTGGTAACTTTTATGGCATCTTTACAACGTTGTGAAGGTGCAAAATATTTGCCGTTGCATCTTGGCAATTTGTCGACGCCACTGAAACGTCATGATATTGACCCCTTTTAGACATGGTAGTTTTAGCATTTTTTTCATAGTTCAGCAGTGTTACTTTTAGAATGAAAAGAGACTAAATCTGCCATTTCAAGAATCTGAAGTCAGCATAAGATTTACTTTGCGATGTTTCATTATTTTATTTCATCTAAATATATTAATCTAAGGTAGATTTATCTAATGAAATATAAATTTAACATAAATACTTTTGATTTATTAAATTTAATTAGTACTAAAAATACATGCTAAATTATGTTTAAATTTTTTAAATAATTAATCTTAAAATATTTTTAATATTATAGCAAAATATAAAAATGAATTAATATATAAAGTTATTAAGTTATGCATTTTACATATTTTAAAAAGTCATATTTCCAAAATCAATGCAAATCACATGTTAGCAATTATTTTACAACTAAATATGACTTTGACAACTAAATATTTATTATTTTTGAAGTAAGGATGAATTTATTTGAATTAATATGCTGACATAATATGAAACATTTTACTGCATACAGTGCAAAAGTTTGTACGTGAAGATGTATTCACGAATAAAAATGGGCGATTTTAAGAATTCCAAGAAAACGTCCAATATATATATGACAGAAAACTCATCGACAGTCAGGAGAAGCAGAATGGAAAAATTAATGGAAAAAGAGAAAGAAATGTTAACACTTTTCATGGAAAATGACAAAATTAATGGATTTGATAAATTACTAATAAATGTCGACATAAAAATTGGAGAAAATGTGAACAAAAATTTTTGTTTTTCCTTTTGGTTATTAGATTTAGGTATATTTTTATCACATTTATTAAACTACTTTATACAGTCTTTCATTTGCTATCTTGGAGATATAGAAGTTAATGGTTATATTTTTACGATGACACAAAGAAAATTATACTTCAGTAAAATATGATTATTTATTAAGATCGCTTCCAATTTATCATTCCGGGCAATTTCAATGTCTCTGAGTTTAACAGAATAAATGTGATAATTCTGTTATAAATAGAAATGCTCCTTTTTTTTTTTACCCACATATATAGCTTACTTTTTTTTGTCTGATTGAGTTTATTTACTTAAAACCTACTATTAATGTTATATATTTATGTGGTAGGGGAGTTGAAGATGCTTCACTAGGGTCAATACACGTTTCCAACATTTTCCACACCACAGATGACATTTAATGAAAACAACAGAAAAGGTACAGATTGAATTAAATACAAGTGCTGTTGCGCCTTCTTCTGCTTTTTAGATATAAACACCGTTCTTTATCACTTTTAGAATTTAAATAGCAGCTTAGCGCCTACTCGCACTAGCTGTGCTATATACAGTCAAGTTACCACCTCATGGAAACATACAGTTCTATATTCACCACCTTCACGTGTAGACCTACGTCTTACCACCTTCACATGCGATAGACGACTGTCTATCTATATGTCATCCTCCTCTTTCACCTCGCTCTCGCTCATTGCGCATAGGTGAGGCCCTCTGGTGGCTGTTTTGCACTTACGAATACCACATTTATAATACCCACTTTCATAATTATTCTCACTTAAGGGGGAAAAAATGATGAAATCTTAAATAATTGTAACTTAAAACAAGTTATTTAAAAAATATAGTTTAAAGTACTGAAAATAATTAAGGCTATTATTAATTATGCATATTTAGTCTAAAGAGAAAAAATTGTATTATCTTCTGGTTTTCAGGAAATGATAAAATATTTAAACTTTAGAAAAATACAAAGAATACAAAATTTTAAAAAAGAAGAAAAAGATATTAATTATTAAGCTTATTTTTTGGCATAAATTAATATGTAACACAAGGGCATAATAACGACATTTTCAGTAAAGACAGCTTTGCAACAGTTATAAAACAGTGGAGTTTCGCGGACATCTGGGCGTCTTAAAGATGACATATTACAACGTTTTTGAAACGTGACTCACAGCGAGTTTGCGTTGTCATTATGACAGTGGTTTGCTACTTGGGTATGGATGCCTAGTAATTCTAATTCACAAAACACTTTTAACTAAGATGATATTAACTGATCCTTATCAAAACCTTTCATAAGAACAGTATTTAAAACTCTAATAGATGATGGTTTTATGTTGAAAGAGGAATGTGTAATTTGATCAGTGTATCTATTACATCGCTGATGAACTTAAATATTTGGTTTTACCAGAAGCTATTTCCCAAATATAACCTGTTCCAATTAGAATGTCAATTTTATGAAAATTACATTCACCATCTTCATAATCGGATAATTTAATTTTTATAGATTGGATCTAGCTATTCAGTTCTTGACTAGGAATTTCTAATAAAGCATCACAAATTGCTCGTGATTTTAATGCTTCATAGACACGCTTGCTTTCATTTTCGATGTTACATAATTGCATTTTAACCCTACATTTTGTAAAGTTCACTGCAGTGTTATTATCAAAGTGTGTAAATTTATTTTTTCTTTACCTATGACAGGCAGATTTTTTTTATTTGATAGATCTTTGTGAATAAATGTTCGATGACTTCCTCAATCAAGTAAACAACAAAATTTTGTTTTGATTCCTGTGCTATGAACAATGGCACAAAATGTTTGTAGAAAAACAATTTGTTTACCTTTGTAATTTATTTTCTGGCATTACTGATGTCAGTACTGTTACAGAGTTATTAATAAGATTAACTTATTCACATAAAGAATCATTTACAACTGGATATGCCTTTTCATGTAATCCCCTTCTGTGTTGTTGGCTTTTATGCCATACGTTACATTCAACCTTAACTCTGCATAATATTTTAGCATGGAACTTTTTATAACACAAGAAATACATTTCTTTTCAGAATATCCTTCTTTTGCACTAGGGTAAATTTATTACAATCATCTGATAAATGATCTGTTACTTTATCATAAAAAACACATAATTAAATTAGGTGATAATCTTGGCACTGTTTTCATAATGGTGGCCATGAAACTCAAGCAGTGCCAAATTTTAAATAGAAAGATCAGAATTTCTAAAATGAAAAATTTTGAGAATTTATTTCTAAAAATAATTTTTTGTTATTTACTACAAATCTCATTCATCTTCTGTGCTGAATAAAACTTGCTACTTAAACAAATAAGGTAATAAATGATATATTATTTGTTTAGCAAATTAAAAAAGAGTTAATGAAGAAATGTTTTTTCTGTAAATTTATGTTGAGTTTCATATTTTTTATTTATTTATATTTTTATTTAATTTCAGAGTGTAGCAAGTTTTGGAAGTAAGATGAATGCCCTAGAGTCAAATATAAAAGAACTGAAAGATCAACAGTCTGCTTTACAAACCACAGCTCAAAATCTTTCTGGGGAGTTGGATACCATAAAGGTACATAAATGTGATTTAAAACATATGTTTAAAAACAAGGCAAATTTTATCATTATTGCTCTTTTTACTTCCTTGTATGAAGTAAAAAGGAAGTATTGTAATCGTGAAAAGTTTCAGGCAGCATATTTCAACGAAAATAACCATTTTGACCACTATCGAATGCAATTTAATGATGTTTTTGCGTGATATCTGTACGTAAGAACAGAATAAAAGACTTGTTTCCTCCAAAAAAATTATAAAACTGCTTTAAAATTAATTCTGAAGAGAATTTTTTGTGGCGTCTGTACGAACGTATGTACGTACGTATCTCGCATAACTCAAAAACGAGTAGCCTCAGAACGTTGAAATTTTGTATATAGGACTGCTATAACATGTAGATGTGCACCTCGTATTTTTAAGTAATTTTGCATAAATAAATAATTGCATTGTTTTATGATTTATTGCTAGTAATATTTTGTTTAAATTATTTTAAAATGAAAGTTAATAATTAAAAAATTTTGCTATTTATTTATTATGCAGTTTCGTACATTTGAGTTAAAAAATGCTGAATTTGATAAAAATTAAGTAAAGGATTTTTAAGATTTTACATACTGAAGGTTCCTAATACAATTAATATTTTTGTGTTATTGTTAAAGTGTTTCTAAACTTATATTTTTGAATTTTTGCAATGAATGAAATTATTGTTTGAAAATTTAAAATTCTATGAATTTCTTTAATGTTTTTGAGATAAACATTGAAGGCTGTCACCTTGTGAAAAATACCTTTTTTTAATTGGAGTATTTTTATTTTTTCATGTACTGTGTCTTTTTAACTTAATTTTTTTAGTAAGGGGATGTATAGTGTAGTTCAAAAAGGCCAGTTGCCTTTAACAAGGAAAAGAGGTCTTTATAAGCAACTGCCAAAGCAGCCCTTAACCACTGATTAAATACATCAGTTTAAGTGCATTTGCCCAACAGATGAAAATGTTTGTATTAGAGAAAACTGTGGGGTCTTCTAGTTTTATGTAAAATGAGAAAATTAGAAATGTAACAATAACAGTACAAGTCATGATTTTAGTAATACAGTCAAAAATCGTTAATCCGGACTCATCGGGACTTCGGCGATTCCGTATTATCGATTTTTTCGGATTATAGATCATCAGTTTAAATCTGGTAAGATGGCATGCAGAAATTACAAAATTAAAAATATGAAACCGTAATTTATGAAATAAAGAACAATTATAATCTAAAGGGTATCAAAATTTACAAAAAAAGCTTAATATTTATTTGTTTACTTTATTAAACATTTCTTTCAATGTAAGTTGTTTAAGTTGCTTCGTTTTTTATGTGATAATACATTCTCTTTAATTCTATAAACAGACATAATTTCTTGTTCAGTTACAAAGCTCCGCTGTTCAAGTCCTATAATTGCTGTGTCTACTGACTAATTTGTCAATTGAAATTTTTTCGTTTTCAATAACATCTGTCACTTTCCTCGCTATCGGAAGCAAATTATAATGACGAGGAATTTGATTTAAATCATATCAAAGACGGAGTACATCGAGATGAAATGCTACATTTAGTAAGGAATTATAAGCCAAATAAAATAAAAACGTCTGCCCTGAAGATAAGGATAGTGCTGACAGATCAACTTCCAATTCAATGCGCGCCAGGCCATGGCGTTAAAGATAAACAAAGTTTAGATAAACAAACGTTAAAGTTTAGATAAACAAAGGATGTGCCTTTATCCACTTTTTGTTTAATGAACTTCGAAATATACTTTCGCTTTGTAGATCCTTTACATATTAATAAATATATATCAGAAATTCTATTTGACATAATCGAAAGTTCAGGCTTACTTTTATAAAATTGCTCTTACAGTCTGCAAAAAATAATAAGCCGGATCCAATTCAAAGATTAAGGAACAACGCAATCTGCAACATTAACTGAAATAGATAATTAGATAATTTTAGCTTAGCTGATACCATCCATTATACATTAAACGCGCACTCGTAAATGTATTTTGCACACGCGCACAAGCATATTCGCAGCCGTAAAGCACGCATGCGCAGAAAGTTTGTAGCTTTGAGGTCCGGATTATAGATCATTCCGGATTATGGGTGTCCGAATTAACGACTTTTGACTGTACTATTATAAAATTTATGATGTTAAAATATAAGCTATAATATTGAAAATTAGTTATGTTTGGAAATTTGTTGTGATTATTTAAAATAAGTTAAAAAGATTATGCAAATTTTTTACAAGTGTGACAGTGTGTGCAAAGCTTTGAAAATTCTTCCCTGAAAAAATCTTATTATGTGGACTGTCAAAGACTTTTCAGAGGCCTCTAAAATATTATCTAGGTTTACATTTTTCAATTATTTAAACAATTATTTTGAGCACAGTTTTATTATTTGTATTTTTCAAATTATTTCTCTTCATTTGCTAATGCTTTTTCTCTAAAAAAAAAGCTTTTCTCTCACCATGCCATTAAGTGAGCACAACGGAATTACGTCCAAGTATCATAGGGAGGGAAGCCAAAATGCATATTTATCCAATATGGGAGATCACAAGGAGTATGGTTTTGGTTTGAGTTAGAAAAGTTTCAGTTTTCAGAGTTTAGGTTCCCAATTGCTACGTCATTAGCATTATGCAAGCTTTGTGGCATATATTAATCTAGAAATGATGCAGTCCAGAAATGTTATTATTATTTTTAGAATGAAAACAAAAGGGCATTAATTTATTATTTGCAAGATAAATATTTTATATGTTACACATACACATATATGTAAATATAATTTGAATTTAACAAGTATTCTCTATTCATATAAAGCGAATATAAAATTAAAATTTAATTAACAAATTTTAATTGCAAAAATAAAAATAAAATTTATTATTGCTGCAAACTAATTTACAATATCATTTAAATTCTAAGAGCATATGTGTAAATTAAGTGCACGTATCTAAAACCATGAAAAAATATATTATTCCAAAAAAATAAATTGCGTAAGTGAATAATTGCTGAGCAAGGCAGGAGACAGACTTATCAAGGGGAAGTTGCCTCCAAACCTAACTCATCAATTACTCAATTCATGTTTCATCACCCATATAGGCAAGGATAAAAGTAAAATTCAAAATCAAAAGTAAAACAAAATGTTGTGAATTAGAAAAAAAAAAAAAGAAAAATTTTAAACTATTAGAATTTTTGAGAAATTAGTAAGAAAATTAATTAAATGTCAATTAAGAGTAGAAAACCAAAGTAATTTAGAAACTCTTGCCTACTGGAAGCTTCCCCTACACGAATTATGCATGTAAACCTAAAATAAACTATATATAATCTATCAAGATATAAATAAAAAGGCTAGTAAATAGCAAGTTTTAATTTAACTCTTACCTAGAACTACATATATGAATTCCTGAGTTGGACTAGCATTTGCTAAACTGGGCGAAGTTAAGTAGTTTGTTACTGCTAACTGTATAACTACTACAGTACAAAGTCTGAAATCTGGACGTCCATTATACGGAATGATCTAAAATCCGGACCTCAAAAATATCAGCAACGTTTTCTCGTAGGCTTTACCCACTCGCATTTGATTCCCCCTCCGCGCATAATAAAACATCTGGAAAGACCCGATTCTTAATTTCACTTCGACACTAAATAAAATACCTTGTAATTGAAGAAACAATCATTTTAGCGTAAATTTGTACGTTCAGTAATTTGGCTCCGTTGCAGCGCATCTGCTTGGCACGCATCTCAAACTGAAACATTCCACATTCGTACATTGTTGATTTGATGCCAACCTGGCGAATCATTATTTATTATACTTTCCTTTCATCAATGCATGTTTATCAAAATATGACAACTTGAGTAATGACTCATGTAGTGATGCCTAAACAATTTTTTTATGTTAGTAATTGAGTCATAAAGGAGTATGGTAACCTTTTATATTCACATTATGCTTAGCGATGATTACCGATTTAAGTTAAATGCGCTAAAAAATGTTGGCAAGGAAAAATTTCTCTCCGTATGCTAAAAATAGATTTTGTTGATGGTACTCATAGACCTAAAGTTTACATTTAGGGCTATTTGAATTAAAAATAATTTATTTGTTATTCACATAAACCCAGAACCAGCGCCAGGGCTTGTATGACCGCACCAGCTAAGAAAGGCACCGGATCGTAGAATTTAGGACCCACAGAGGCACTAAGATATCTATCAGCCCTCAATAAAGGCTTAAGTATATGTGGGAATTTATTTATTCAAAGCTCTGATAAGCCTTAAGCATGTGCAAGAAATAGACATAAGTATAATAAATAACTAATACAATTCAGGCTTAATTGTCTCGGTGTGCAATAGAAGCAAGATAAATTTTAATGGAACAACTTGTTAGTCGCCAAGCTCATGATGTATAGCCAAATATGTAGAGGGCTAGCTAAATTTGAGGATGATAGCCGCTAATTTTAAAGGTTTTCGGATATTGCAAAACAAAGGTGAAATTTTCTAATTAACGGATTTTATAAAGAAATGTGGAGAAGCGGTAATAAATGAAGGTGATATAAAAGAAGTATTTCATTGTGATGACAATGCTTCTGAATCATCAATCAATTAATGAATGGCGAAATCTGTAGTATGGATTAGATCCAGAAAATACACATACCGATAGTGAAAAAGTGACAGAGAAGTTACTGAAAACGAGAAAATTTCGATTGACGAGTTAGTCGGAATTCTCAAAATAGCAGTTACAGGACTTCAACAATGTAGCTAAACAAGAGATTATGTCTGTATCCAGAATTAAAGAGAAAGGATTAGCACAAAAAATGAAGCAGCTTAAACAACTTACATTAAAAGAAATGTTTAATAAGCTAAACAAATAAATATTAAACTTTTTTTGTAAATTTTGATACCTTTTAGATCATAAATACTTCATTATTTCATAAATCATGATATCATATTTTTAATTTTATAATTTCTACATGCTGTCTTACTAGATTTAAACTGATGATCTAAGATCCGGAAAAATCCCAAATCCGCCAGAGTCCTGACGAGTCCGGACTTTGTACTGTATTATGTAAATATATGTATATATATATTTCTGATGTAGAATGTAATTAAATAACTTAACATTCATCTGACAGATTTTAATTTTATATTTTCTTTTTCTTGTGAAATGTTATTTATTCTTTTTCTTATGGAAAAGAATAAAAAGTTCTAAATAAATATAAAAAAGAATAAAGCTCTTTGTATTATGAAATATTTTAAAACATCTTTTGTTTTTCATGTGTGAAACAAGTTTTTAATATATTAAACTATTATGATTGATTTATTTTTATAAAGAAGTAATGGATAATTGTTTAGAAATTTTTATGTAATATCAAAGATAATAATGTAAAAGAATCTGTCCCCCCCCCATTCTTTGCAATGAATTTAAATAAAGTATGATTAAAATTTTGTCTATTATCACTGGAATATATTAAAGAAATCTCTTCACATGTGAATGTATATTACTTATTTGCACAGTTATTTTAAATATTTAATGAACTTTGTTGTATTTTTTAGGTTATAGTTCAAGAGCTAAACAATTCTACTGATTTTCAAACTAGATCTGTAAATACTTCAGTTAAAGATTTGAAGCTTCATAATGCTGTACAAGAAACAAATCAATATGTTCACTATTTACAAGGGGTAATTATTTTTTTTTTTTATTCGTACCACTTGTATTAATTATCTACTTTTGTATTTCATAATGTCCATATATCTGTAAAAGATTGAAATGAAGTTAATGTATGCTTTGAACTACCAGTATCACCATACATTGTTGGATTTATTTTAATTAAGATATAAGAATAATGTCAGTAAAAGAAAAAAGATATAACTTTGATAATTTTTTTTTAACAAGGCTTTTTGGCTTTAAGATATGCTATTTTCTCACTTTTACAACGTGTTTGCATTTGAAATTCAAAGCTTTGTAAAATTCATAAACATCATGAAATAATTATAAAAACAATAAAAATAAAATATGCCACACTGTGTTCTTAAATTAAAAAACTTATGTGATCGGTCAATTTAAATGAGTAATATGCTAAATAATTTGACAGACACTGTAGAAATCAGTCTTTTATTTTTAAAAAAAAAAAAAGCATCAGACAAAAACAATAATAAAATAAGAACCTCAAAATGCTTTCATGATACAGTACAAAGTCTGTAATCCGGACGCCCATTACCCAGAATGATCTATAATCCGGGCCTTAAAGCCAGTAAAGCATTTACCGTTGTGTGCTTCCAATAGTGAAGAAAGTAACAGAAAACGTTATTGAAAGCGAAAAAATTTTGATTGACAAGTTAATCGGTATTCTCGACACAGCAATTACAGGACTTGAACAGTGGAACTTTGTAACTGAACAAGAAATTATGTCTGTTTATAGAATTAAAGAGAAATTAAACAAAAACAAAAGCAACTTAAACAACTTGCAATGAAAGAAATGTTTAATAAAGTAAACAAATATTAAGTTTTTTTTTTTTTTTTTTTTTTTTTTGTAAATTTTGATACCTTTTAGATCATAATTGCTCTTTATTTCATAAATTATAGTTTGATATTTTTAATTGTATAATTTCTGCATGCCATCTTACCAGATTTTAATTGATGATCTATAATCTGGAATCACCGAAGTCCCGACGAGTCCGGATTGCAGACTTTGTACTGTATTTGAACCTTGCTTGTTTACTTAAAATACACTTCTCTTTCATATTTTAAAACTACTATTCATATCATTGTGCTAGTTCTAGTAGAATTTGCTTTTGTTATTAAGCCATTCACACCATTTTAAATCTCTTACTCAGCTGGCCATACCAATTACCAAGTAATTAAGAGTGTTGAATACTGGTAGTTACACCTGGACTCAATACCCGACCACGAGCTAGCCCATGCAAATGTGTTAGCTCGTGGTTGGTTTTCTTTATTTGGAACATGAATACAAGTCAGTTTCTCTCAGAAAGTCCACATAGTCATTTACCCCTTAGGCAGATAGCCCTTATGTGATTTGTCGTATTCAAATAATGTAACCGTATACAACTGATCTGATGCATTAATTTCAAACAAGTTCTTCAAATTATGTTTCATTTTGGGGTAAAATATTTTATAATTTTCATTATTAATATGGGCTCATCATTTGATTTTGATGTGAATAGTCAGTGTATAAATCAGCAATTTTTCAAATCATATAAAGTATATTTAACTACTGCACAATGAATGAGTTTATCAATTAGTAAAATATGAAAGATAATATAAATGGATGTAACATGTTTTTCAGTCAAAAAGTGTTATGTTACTTAAGTTATGCCCAGTGGCATGGCATAGTTTTTACCACGAGGTACAAGGTATGAAGAAAATTATAATACGAGACATACTAAGACGACTGCAAACAGACATTGGTTTATCTTAGAAAGATGAAATTCAGTATTAGTGTTAATTTATGTTGTTGAAATACTGGTCATTGTCATAACAGGGTGAATATTTATTATTTATATGTTGAATGCAAAGACTAATGATGTAATTCGAAGACTAATGAGTACATTAATGGTTAATATACTGTGATCAATTTATGAAAGTCAGATGAAGAGAGAAAGTCAGAGTGATCATACCATAATAAATAAATAATTACTTGATGGATATCATAAGAAATAATTATTTAAAAAGCATTTTATCTCAAAGAGAATGCAGACAAATTTCTTCTTAGCTATGTTATGAATAATTTGAAATTATATAACATTCCACTTTGATAATGTTTCATGCTTGTACAAATGAGACATCTGGTGGTGTATTTAGTTATGGCAAAGCACACTAGGGCTATCTGCCTAAGGGAAGGGATGCCTTTGTGGAGGATTTTCTAAGGGAAACTGGCTCATATACACATTACACATGGGGAAAACCACTAAAGCACCCATGCAGCCAGCCCGTTCGCAGGATTCGAGCCTCAGACCAAACTACCAGTGTTCAACGACTTTACTGCTCGGCTGCTGGTGGGCTGAGACATCTGGAGTAGATTACTTTTTATTATTATTTTTGTCTTTTGAAAAATATATTATTCCAAAGAATGTGATGGACAATTGATCAGGACCATAGGGCTGTGGCACTGGCAGCTGATATGCACCTTGTTTAAAAAAAAAAAAAGGCTTTGGAGGTTTCTCGTATGTGCTTTGTGATGATTGCTTATCTCAGGACTATCTTTTTGTACTGCTTTCGTCTCCATAGTTCAAACTTAGATTGCTGCATCAGTATATTTTACTTCAAATGCTTTTGTGTACCATAAGAATGCTTTCAAGAAGGTGAACTAAAATATAGCACTTAAGTTAAATTATTTTTGTGTGTAAGAATCATGAGAAATTAAAATTTCATATGACCTACTTCCAATAGTTAACAGTATGTCTACAGCAGTTATCAGAACGGTGAAAATGAGCTAGTCCTTTTTAGCACTGAGCCAAGGAGTTTCTAGTTCTTGCCTTTCGCGTTAAAACCTGATAACATTCGAGTGGCACGCAGATTCAAAAGAGATAAAACAAAGTTCCTTTTAATGCTTTTGAATATTGGATAAAATGTGTATTTAAAATGTTAGGAGAATAGTCTCTCTAGTCCAACAATCTCCAGCTTTTCTTGATATACCCCTAATATGAAAAAAGTTATAAGTTATATTCCATATGATATAAAGAAGTATTATAATGTAATATTTGTATGTAATACAATGTAATATTATGTAAGAGTAGACACAGCAACCAACAAGAGAGCTTCACACTCACATGATACATGATCATACACTCACAAGGGATCATGAGCCTACATCTTTGGTGTACGCCCAAATATCATTGAGGTACGCATACCCCACTCTGGGCACCACTGCTCTAGTTACTGATGCGACACCACTGGTTATGCCAGTATAATTAATTAATATAAGAACTTCATTTACGAGTGCTCCACAACCAAATATATTCTTTAAATGTAGACTTTTTTATGGTTTTATGTAATATAAAATTGTTTCTCATAATTTGAGTTTATGAAATTCGTAGTTTGGTGGGTTAAATTAAATCTTTTTAACTTTTGCTTCAGTAGCTGTTTAGTATTTTGAAATGCTTGCAAACTTTTAAATAGTTGTTAATGCAGCAAAATTTTACATGCTTCAAGAATATTAAAAAAATATTGCACTAACAAAGCACCAGACCTTTTTCTGTTTTTGATTTATTTCTGTGGCTTATGCACATGTATCGTGTGGCA